TCAGCCGTGAAGCACACAGCCCAATCTCCGACAAAAAATATCACAATCCTCATTTTGTGTGATGCCCGGATTTGGGAAGCCGCCATTATCACCGGATTGGTCCTTTTCCCATGGCTGCATTTAAGGAAGCGAAAAATCGAGGCTGTCAAGCTCTCTTCTCACGCGCTCGTTCTAAACTTCGACTTCCAGAATGTCTCATTTGGTCAAGCTATAAGAATAACGGATTCCCCTCTTCGTGAGACGCATGCTTTTGCCGTCGTCCCAAATGTAAAAAATGATGCTGATGATCTCAGTGAAGAAGAGAGAACTTTCTGGCGAGCTGGTCAGAAAGGTTTTTCAATTATTATCTCACGTGCTGGTGATTGGACCAGCCGTATCATCGATTCTCCACCGAGTCATATCTGGACTCGTGGTATACCTCAGTATGGTCTTCTACGTGTGGTAAACCTCTTCCGCCCATGTATTATCATTGCTACTGGTTCAGGGATAGGACCTTGTCTTAGCGTCTTGGTCCAGCGACCGACCCACCCAGTAAAGATCATATGGTCAACAAGATCTCCTATAAAAACGTATGGTTCTGCAGTCGTTGAGACTATTCTGAGGGTTGACCCAACAGCGATTATACATGATACGGATGAACTGGGTCGTCCGAACCTGATTTCAATGGCTTCAAATGTTTGGGAAGCTGGTAGCTTCGAGGCAGTTGTTCTAATTTCTAATAAGAAGGTGACTCAGATGGTCATCTCCGGGCTCGAAGAGAAGAACATTTGTTCTTATGGGGTTATCTTTGATTCGTAGATGTAAATTGTATTGTATATCACTAGTTCGGCGACAATTTATCGCTAGTCGCTCGTCAGCTATCTTTTCATCTGCCTAGCATTTGATACTAATGTTATATGCTCTAATCAGGCAGTAGTTGAGCATTATGTCTTTGTAGCTGAGTCACTCTGTGTGAACCATTGTGACCCTAGCATTTCTACTCATCTATTCAATCGTGTAATCTATCGTGTAATCTATCGTGTAAGTAACTGAGAATGGTTATCCTTGCACTCTTGAAGATTCTTGTAGCCTCAAGCCATTAGCTATGCTCTTACACAGTTGTACGCATACGCAAAGGCTTTTCTGCGCCTCGGATAAGCTTTATTTGGGAGTCAACTTAGACCCATAACGCTACCTGTCAGGGCATCCTCTGAATAGGCGCCTTTAGACAGCGTTTGCTTGCAAGGGATGCTCGTTGCACGCGCGCACGTGTTGTGAGAATGATTCCGCCGCGGAATTGTTCCTGAAGAGAATGATTCCGGTTGCGGCGGAATTTCGGAAGTCTCGCGGAATTTCCGCGAGACTTGACAACTCTGCTTTAGTTGTCGCTTTATTCAGAGGAGGATTCATGATTGATCCTGTCTGCTTTTCTCTTTCGTATACTTATGATCAGACTCATAGTAAAGAACTCATGGGTGGGTCTTATTTGGATCTTAATCTTCGGTCTACTCCGCCTCTATAATTTCGTTATGGATACGACTCGACGAGTCGGACTCGTATCATACGATACCTATTGGTGAAAGCTCTGCTGGGTTGCACGCGAGTCCGTCGTCGATAGCTTCATTGAAGAGTCTGCAGAGAACCTAAAACCTTTCTGACACGGGAGTGTGGTTTAGGAATCACGTAACGGTAGAGAAGCGCCAACACGAAACCCGGAGCTAGCGAGCTCCGCATTGTTGTCACTGCGCTACCGCGACGTGATTGATGTGTGAAGGTACCAGCACCGTCACACATCTCCCGGATCGGGAGGGTTGGGAGAGAGGAACTAGAAGGTTCTTTAGCTGTACCACGTTGACCTACATCATCGCATATTGCTACGTCACGGTGCTGGGCCTTGCACATGAGAGCAGTTGCTTATGACGGACTGATTTGCACGCACGCGCACGTATCCAAAGGAAACAAGAACGCTCAAGAACGTCATGACAACTTTGTTGGCGACTTTCGCTGCTGGCACGCACTGGCCAGGTCACCTGACCCAGGTGTTGCTTGTTGCGAGACTCTGGGTCTGCTGGCCGTTGTCGCTGACGTGAGCCTCGTGTGTCAGGGCTGAACGCATCATCGTAGTAAGAAGCTTTCCGTTTGATGCTGTTGCAGACCCAGTCTGGAGTTCTGCCCGGATGTGGCATTTAATGGAGCGCCAAACTCATGTAAGCAGTCGAGAGTCTTGACTATTCCGTCTAGTCTAGTCTAGTCTATTCCAAATAAGTACGGCATTATCAACCATCTTCCCTAGGCCGGTTTGTTTGAGTTCCTGCCAATAGGACGTTTTGAACCTAACATGACGAAGCAACTGCTTAAACCAGTGATCACAACAGGATTCTCGTGCTCCGAGGTATTTGTTGACTCACAATAACGACACCCGACGGGTGTCACCCGTAGGTTGAGCTCTTTAATAGCCGCGACAAGCTCCTTCACAACTTGGGATTTACCGGGCTCTGCTGAAAAGCCCATACTGAAGCCGTCACAGGAAAAACCTTCACGAACTCTTCGGCACTCCCCATGAAAGGAGCCTTGTCGAAGATTTTTTGGGATATGATTTGATTTTAGGGCGTGCGCGGGTAGCGTTTGCTCTGTGTGACCGTAGACATTGAGCTAGGTAGGCTAGAG